CTTCTCACTGCTCAGCCGTGGCCAGCGGCTTCACGCTGCTCAGGTGCGATGCTGGGAGAACATCTAGGGGGGTACATACATGGAGAGGGTGGCAGAACCCACCCAGTGGTGCCACTGCCCCATCTGTATCCCCTCTTAATCTGCCCTATTATCAAAAGCACCTAAGTACTTAATTCAACCCCCTCCATCACTGATGCTCTGAGGAAAGGAGCCCCCTGCTCCCCCAAAAAACAGAGGACACAACATCACTGCTGCATGGTGCTCAGGGATAGCTTGGATGCCCTATCCAACCCACTCCATCGCGGTCCTCCTGCTTCAAAAGGGTGCCTATCCAAGGGTGGGGCAAGTATAGCAACTCAAATAGTGTCGCGGGGCATGAAACAGACTCTCCAGCTTTGCTCCACACAGGTTGCACGTCTCCACTTCTGTGTTTTAGGTCACTATTGAAGCACAAGGGATGGAGTCAATGCTGGAAGAAAACGTCTCAGAAGGAGAAGAGGAGCCAGATCTCACGGCTGGGATGTCTGCCATCTTCTTCGATGTTCAGTTGCGGCCAATCATCTTCTTCCAGGGATATACAGACTTAATGGCCAAGGTCTTTTTAAGCAGTGGAGAACCCACAAGCGTGGTCAAAGGGAACCTCCTGCTTATGGATCATCACCAGGTACTGAATGGGGGGTGGCTGACCTACCTCCTTGCCAAATCCTAGTAAATCCCATGCATGAGCCAGTGGCTTTTAGGTACGTTATTCACTGTGGATACACATCCAAGGGCGAAGTGGCACTGCCAGATGTCTCTCGGGGTTGGCTCAGCTCTGCTGTGGGACACACGTGGGTTGAGTTCCTCTCATGCAAGCCCAGCTGCTGGATTGGGATAGGTGGTGCCAGCAGCCATGCATCGCTGCTGGTATCAGCTGCTCAGTCAAGAGCAGAGTCCAGTCACAGCAAGTTCTGCCTTCTCTATCTTCCAGGTCGTTCACCTGCAGTCTGGCCTACAAGTGGTCATCAAACTCCAGGGCGGGCTTGGGCTTGACATTTCAGCCGACATGGATGTGAGCATCTGGGAACAGGAACTGAAAACCAGTATCAATGCGAGGTGAGTGGGCGGGAAACTGTTTGACTCTGGGGATGCAGGGTACTCAGTGGGCTCAGCACTCAGTGAGGGATGCTCTACCTTAGGCTGGCTTTCCACAGCCCCTGCTCTTCTCCAATGGATCCAGCCCTGACTGGTGGACATGCTGGGTAGAGGTCTGGTGGATGTTGGTTACACACTCCTTTTCCATGGCCAAACCTAAAATTAAGATGCTTATGGAGTTGTTTGGTGCCAGTGCATGGTGCCCAGCACAGGACCATTGCTCGGTGACCGGACCCATGTGCTTCCATCTCGCAGGGGAAGCCTTGCCATTGATTTCAAGGCTGAATTAGACACCCCTTTCCTCGAAGCCACTGTGAGACACCAGACGGAGATGGAGACCTCAATCCACTTCAACACCATGCTGAGGTTTTCTGGCAGCCCAGTGCTCATGTGCCTGCAGCTGAGAGAGGAGCAGGTGCCTTACAGGTAAACTCTGGATACAGCCAGATACTGTAGAAACATCACGACATGCTTGAGATAAAGGAGGACTTCTTGGAGAGAGGAGGGAAATAATGGTTGTACACTTATTAAGCACAGTAGGTCAAAACCAGTAGGGAGGGGGTGAAGGACACCAACAAGTTCTTGGTGATGGGGATGGAAGTGCCATGGCTAGACCATCGGGAGAAGCCCTGCAGGTGAATATGCTGTTCTGGGAGGAGGATGAGGTCCACCACCACCGCAGCCTCCTCACCAGCTTGCTGTTGCCTTGTCCTACAGAGAAACCTTCACAGTTTCCAAGTCTACTGGGAGCCAGAGCAGCACTGCTCGAAAAGGCAGGCAGGGCACCATGCCCGGGCAGGAGTTTGCTTTGCACCAGGCCAACTCCAAGGTCTGCAGCCTCCTGCTGACGGCGGAAGAATAGGGAAGTTGGAGCACTTCGGGACTGGACAACTGCTCACCACACACCCCAGTTCTCCATGAACCTGATGTGAGCTGCCAGGGGCCCTGCCCAACTCCTCCACAACCATCTTTTAAAAAGAAAAACGCTGCAATAAGGGCATCAGAAGAGACTGCAAGAGGAACTGCTGCAGGACAGCCAGAGGCACCCCTTGCTTGGGGCTGGAGGAGCCAAGCCTGCCCTTTCCACCCTAAAGGCTGAGACCTCCTCCACCTGAACTCTTCCCCTTCATGGGGAAGGGCTTGCTGGAAACCAAACAGGTCTTTATGAAAAACAGCTTTCTTTTGCAAATTGAATGAGTTTCTTGTAGCCTAACAAACCCTTCTGCAAGCCGATACCCAAAACCGCTGTTTTCTCCCCATTTATCAAAGCAGTCACAAGGGAGCACATCTGCAGGGAGGAGGTTCCCCACAGAGGGAGTGAATGACCCTCCTTTAACGCACAGTTTTGTGGCTGCCAAATTGCCCAGAAACAAGGAAAAATTTATTTCTGGAGGAGGAGGTGTGGGGTTTTTAAATACATATATATTTTTTTAACGCAACCACAGAGACATTCACCCCAGAATAACCCTTGGGGAGAAAGGCAGAGAAGCAAGACCAAACAGTGCATAACCTGTTGCCAATTATTGTATGTTCTTTCCGGATTAATTGAAGCTGTTTGCATTTATTTGCATATGGAGGCAACTCAGCTCCCTCACAGCTTGGTGCCATCTTCTTCCTCCAGGTATTAAGGATGGAGCTGAAAAATATAAGGAAAAAAATGCTGGAGACCCACCAGCTGCTAGGGGAGGCTGGAAGAAGATGTGAGAGGACTCCAGTAGGGACTGGCTGAAGGAAAAAGGGAAGAGACCTTGGTGTCTCCAAGGCATTAAAGCATCTCAACGCAGCTCTCCATATCCCCCTCAAGATGCTGATCCTGGTGTCTACACTTGACTTTTTCCACATGTTTTTCCCTCCAAGACAGGTAGGGCTGCAAGAATCATCTGAGGTCAAAAAAACCCACCCTGTAATTAAAAGCTACAAGAGCACAAGCAATTTACTGTTTGCAAAGAATGGATTAAAAAGGTGTTTTGAGATTATCAGGACTCCCAGCATGGGGCAAAAACACTGGAAGTAGAGAAATTACTACTCTAACAAGGGTGGCATGCAGAGCTGGATCTGAAGTCAGCAACGTTCTGCTGGGGAACCAGATGATTTCAAACTGTGGGCACAGCCTGCCAAGGTGTTTGGAAGAATCTCCATTCTTTGGGTATTTTTTTTTTTTAATGAGTTATTGGTGGTTCAGTCCCTCTTATGGGGCAAATGCAGATGCTGGTTGCCATGGAGGACAGGAGACGGTGTTTGACTGATGTGGTCCTTTCCAGATTTGAGAATCTATCACAGAGAGCTTGGACAAACATGACAAAGCTGTTGCTTCAGGTAATCATCCATCAGTGAGGACATTATTCAACCCAAACTGGAAAAGTTAAGTAGTGGGGTTGCACCTCCATCCCATCCATCCCTCCTCTTTATAGATGCCAGCACATACTAGATGTGCCTTTTGCTGGTGCATGCAGATTCAAAACCCATCTATTGAGAGGTGGCTTCTGCCTGGAGCCTCTCGTCCTCCATTTTGATCCAAAGTTTACATATTAATGGAGAAGCCTCCGGCCTCTCTATCGCCTGAACAGCAGTTCCCCTTCTCCTTTAATCGAGGCAGCAGATGGAGATAAGATTGCCTCAACCCTACATGCAGGAAGGCAGCGTTCCAGCAACAAAGAGATACACCAGTTTCCCTTTTCTGCTGATACTTGGGCTCTTTCGGTGATCATTTGTGAAAGTTACAATTAGCTTCAAGTAAATATTGTTCTTCTATTTTGTATTCTCCTCTGGAGTAGGATTATTATCAGCCACCACCACGGAACACCTCTCCAGGGCTGGAGGGAGGCCCGCAAGGAAAAAGCAGTGTTTCTTCATTCCTTCCTGATAAGAATGTGCCTTTGAAATATTTGAATTTTTTGCTTTTTGTATTATAAAATGTGCTTTTTAGCAAAAAGAGGGACAGCAACCATTTTTTTAAATAATGAGCCTGACAACGTAGCACTGAGTCCCCTGGTTTGGGAGAAGGAAACTTGTCTGCTTTTCCGTCTGGAGATATTAATTACGAGCACTGTGGTTATGTACGGAAATAAATGCCATGGATTTTCATATTTTCTCTGTTTGACTCTTAACTTTTCTGGACATGCCATTGGGAAGAGAAGGGAGGTGCAGAGCAGCTCCCACAGCACAGGCACTTCCAGCAAGAGCAGAATGACCAAAGCTCCTCAGGGACCTGCTTTCTAGGTCCGTATTTAGGATGCTCCAGAGACGCTAAATGCCCCATCAGGCCTGCAAGGCAGGGACACGAGGGCTATCCCTGCTCCTAGAAACCCCCGGAGCACCCTTAGGGATGACGGCAGCCCTAAGAGAGGGCTCCCAGTCGGGCCAAAGGTGCTGCCTCATCCTCTCCTGCCAACTTCTGCGAAGGTATTGGAGGCCATCCAAGGCTTTGTTTAAAGATTACAGAGCGGTCTCACCCCAAGGACGCAGAGAGTAATCGTCCTGGGACTTGCCCTCGGCTCTGAACAGGAGGATCCCTGCGTGACCGTGGGAGGAGGGAGCCTGTATCGCCCTTGTTGAGTTGCTCAGCTTTCTGCCAAGCTGCTGATAGCAGCTCCCAGTCCCGCTACCTCCCTGTCTTCACCCTTTCCCTGGGAGCATCCCATTATTTCCCACTCCTGTCTCACAGTCAGGATTTGGGCTGACTCAGACCGTTTTGCACGTCAATGAGTTGCTATAACCTCCGCTGGCACACACCACCCCCGGGAACACTTACAGACCCGCACGAGCATGAGTCCCCATTCAAAACCAGAGATTTAGGGTCCAGATAGTCCTCCCCAAACACTTCTCAGCCTCAGCCAAAGCCAAGAGGCACCCATCTGCCATTTAGGACTTTTTCCATTGCTCTCTTTCCCCCTTCTCCTTCTCTGAAGGAGATTTGCAGAGGCGGATTTGTCATTCAGCTGAGGTTTGCATTGCACAAAGTCGGACTTAAGGCATCGTGTTAAGTTGGAAAATGCCACCCCTAACTTTTGAGGTGGGGGGAGGATAGTATGGTTGATGGGTGAGCTCTTATGGTGGAGAGCAGATTGGTTTTGCCCCAAACAAACAAGCGAGGTTTGCTCGCTACCTGCAGACGAGGAGAAATCAGTGTTCAGGGGGTATGGAAACCCCAGAAGAATTTACTCCAGATTTTACATGAAATTCTGAGCAAGAACGTTACTCTGAGTTGGTAGGACAAGCATCTGCCTTTAGGACCAGAAGCTCAAGCAGAGGGGCCAGGTGCTATAGCTGGGACTGGAGCTGGAAACGTGCATCCAGCCCCCTTGGGAAATGTTGAGGACATTTCAATGGGGATTTTAACCATTTGCATTGCTGCTGGAGGTTTTCATCTCCTGCTGAGCCAGCCAACCCTAAAGTTTCCCAGGTCCCTTCTGGAGGTTCCCCCCCCACCCAGCTCTGGTTGGATGCTGAAAGCAGCAAAAAGCAGCAAAGGGACACGGGCGTTTCTGTAAATTCACCCATTTCTTTGGCAATGGCTCCAAACCCTCCTAGAAGGGACCTTTCAGCCCCAAACCCCCTGCACTGACTGTATGGCACCCACAGAGCTGGAGAGCAGCACCACGTGGGACACTGTGGACAAAAAGGGGCATGGCAAGGCCAAGAAGAGGAGAAACAAACAAGAGCATCCTCCTTCAGAGGGACTTTATTCCTACCAGCTAACTTAATTAGACTATTTGACAAGAATGACAAGGGAAGAATTAGCAGCTAAAATTTTGTCATTGCCTCCCAAAGCACCGGTTACAGGCTTCACGGTTTGCATTGGGCAACGAGAGCTGTAGGACATTCCCTGGGCCAACACCCCTCCCAGGAGGTCCTACACTGAGCTATGATGAGTCCCCAGTGGGTCCATGCATCCAGGAGCAGGAGACAGGGACAATTAGGGTGGGTTGAGGGTGCCAGATCCGATTTCTAGTGGAGGTCCTATGTGCCAGCAAGCACCCAGCTCCCAGGGATTTTGCAGGGGGTTAGAGGTAGAGCAGTCCAGAGCCAGTACCTAGAAGCAGGGCTCCTACCCACCTCTCCAAAAGTGGTTTTCCTGGAGCTGCAGATCAGCAGTGACCTCCAGTGGCTGCAGCCAAACCTAGTGGAGATGCCAGGCCAGAAATCTCTTCACCGTAGCCACGTAGGGGCTGGGTGCACAGCACCCTGCACCCAAAGGTGTCCCATAACCAGCACCCAAGGTCGTGGGACCTTCACCTCAACATGCAATGAACCAGGGCTGACCCACGGCAGCCCCTCACCACTCCAAGCTGGGATCTCATGCAGCAACACTGTCCTCTCCTGCCCCCCACGCTTAACATCATGGGCAGCTTTGTGCTGTTTTCCTTTTCCCCTGCAAGCCACCCCGTTCCCAGGACATCTCGTACAGCCCTCATGAGAGCGTACGGACACCCCTCACCAAACAGGGCGATAAAATGTTATCTGCCTGTCTATTACAGCTTTCCACAGAGACAAAACTACCGCCAGAAAGGGTGCACAAAAGCAAGGAGAATGTGTGTGAAAGGAGAGAGCATCGAAAGCACTGATGAGGACCTATCGACCACCGCTCTCTCCTTCCTAGGCAGCTCACAAAAAAATCCAGAAAAAGCCATTCATAACTCACCGGTGTAAATCCCGGCACTGGACGGAGAGCTCAGGCAACCGCAAAGCTCCCAAAGAGCTGCGGATGGGCTACAGGTCACCCTGGAGGAGCAGAGCATCCCAGGAGGAGCAGCAGCTGGCAGGGGGTTGCTGTTATAACCTGCCCAGCCATCAGGGATGGAGGGAGAAAGCTGTGATGCTTCAATAGGACACAGCTGTGGGAGGTTATCCCTGCAGGAAAAAAAAGCTCAGGGCCAGTGACTCAGGCTCGGAGCCTGGGAACTGACTGATTTGAGCCAATGAGTCCCCAGAGCTGGGATAAAACCTGCTGGCACAGCAGGGCCAAAAAAAAAAAAAAAAAAAAGCTGAAGTTTCCCAATGAAACTGTTCCCCCCAGCTCCATCTCTGTGAGAGAAGGAGCAAATAACCACACTTAACTCCATCAGCTTTGGGTGAAAACAAGTCATTTCCTACCGCTGCTTTTCCTACTCGCTCAATTGCCCTCCGCCACGGTCATTCCGCCGTGCCCGAACGCCGGATGCAGGCACCTCTCTTGCCGCTCCACTCCTAATAACACACTTATCAAAGCATATTAAATACTGCAGGGATTCACCAGACTGTCCCCATCACCACCACGGCAGCCCCAGAGCTGCTGGGGAACAGGGGGGTCCGCAGGCAGCTGCCCGTGGCACTCGCTCGGCAGCGGCGCAAGGACTCTTCCCATCCCAGCAAGGCACTTGCCGGCCACGACCGCACCAGATCACAAAGCCTTGAAGTCTCTCCTATCCCTTTTAAAGGCAAAAAGTCCTCCTGGTCTCCTTGCCCAAGTATTTTGGCCACAGTGGCCTCGGAGACTGAAGGTGAAGGTAGCCATAGTGACGCGGAGTGAAACAAAAGCGTCCAGCCCCCTAGATCCGTACAGGTGGAAGAGCCTTTCCATGGTGAAAATCCAGCGGGGTTTTCAAAGCCCTTGAAAGAGCAGGGGTTGCAAAGGGCCAGAGGAACACAGCGTGGCTGCATTTTAGGGAGCGACCAAGTGGGTTTTGTGTTTTTCAAGAGGGGCCATTAAAAACACGAGGGGCAGGACAGAGGAACTGGGCGCTGAAAGATGGAGCGATCCCACCGGTAACCTTCTCCGGCTTGGCTTTGCCACCGCAGCTGCCGACCGAGTGGCGCCGGGGACCACTAGCGCGTCCCATTCCCATCTCAGCCATGTCCCCAGAGACACGTTCATCCACAGCTGCCTGTGAAGGGCAGGACGAAAGACAGGGATTGCTCATTCAGAGGGAAGCTGCAGCGTTTCCCGCCGGCTCCTCCTCTCGCTTGCCTGGTCCTTGAGTACTCCTTATTCCCAGCCGCTATCCAGCAGCGTGCTCCTATCATCAGGTGCCGTCCTTCGGGCTGGCTATAAAGGCTGGCTGGGATGCAGCGTGCTCCCCGAGGCCAGCCCTGCTCCCGCACCATGCTGCGGGCCACCATCAAGCTGTGCTGCGGGATCGCCCACGACCACCTCCGTCGCCTGCCCGGTAAGCACCGCTCTGCTCGCGGGAGAAGAAAAAAAAACACGCAGAAAAGAGGGTCTGAAAGGAGATGCTAATTCTGCGCCTGATGGGCGTCATCCCCCTTGGAAAAGTCACATCTATGCACTTGTTTCCCTCCCGCGTCGTTGTCATGCGTAGGGTAGTCTTGATCTTAGGTGCAAACAAGCTCCTGGCAGAGATGCAGGGCACCATGGCGTCTTCCTCACGCACTCCGTGCTCACCCAGCGCCCGCGTGTCTCTCCCGTAGGCTTGAAGATATCAGCCATGGCTGCAATACAGAAGGACACGAGAGGGCTGGCAGCAAGAGGACCCCATCACCTGCCTTCTGAAATTCCTCGTTATATTCAGAAGCTGACGGGGAAGGAGACAGGTAAGCTCAGCCCCGGGTGCTTGGCTACCACGTTTCCCAGCCCTGCTCGCAACCCCCTTGCGACATGTGATGGAGGGATGAGTATTAAAACGTGCCCCTCTCCGTAGGATCTGACTCATATTTTGGGGGACAGGGTTAATCAGGTTAGTGGGGAGACCCTGAGATTTTGAGAAGGTAAGGTGTGTTGGCTCACCGTACAGGCAGCCACAGCTTTTAGCAGAGGTTCCATCAGTGTTTTGTTGCTCGCCTGTCTCTAGTTCCACCACTTACCTAAAGGCTTGGGTGGCCAGGAAGGGTTCAAGGCCAGGTTGGATGAGGCTTTGAGCAACCTCATTTAGTGGAAGGTGTCCCTGCCCATGGCAGGGGGTTTGGAACTAGATGATCTTTGAGGTTCCTTCCAACCCAAACCCTTCTATGATTCTATGATAAGGGGGGAGGCTTTTCACATCCCTCTGCCTTGCACCTGCAGCCATATGCCCAGATCCGGACGGAGACGTCAACCCCAGCTGCTTCTCCAGCACGGACCTCTCCTACGTCACCCAGGGAGAGACAGCCCTGCGGCAAGCACTGGGCATCCTGCAGCAGCACACCGGCTGGCAAGCAGAAATGATGGTTGTAAAGCCCCTGCTGCCTCTCGCTTTTTTGCTGCTTCGTGCCGGAAAAGCTCTTGGGAGGAGGAACGAGTCTGGGGAGGGGAGATTTGCTTCCCTTCTTCCTCCTACTTGAAGGGAAAGGGTGGGCACGGGAGAAGTGCCACGCGAAAGTGCATGCGGCGAGGAGGGAACTTCCAAGCGAGCCTTCCTTAAGCGTGTTCACAAGCGAATCCGTAAAGTAAATAAAGAGCAGGAAAAAGCTTGGAAGGGGAGACTCGGATAATCGTGTTCTCCTGGAAAGCTGGGAGCGCTTCTGCCAAAAAAAACCCAACAAATTGTGACTTTGTTGTTATTTACGGTGTTTGTTCATCAAGCCGTTGGATTAATTTAGATAGAAAGGAGCTTAAAATAATTTAAAATAAAAAAAAAAGCACGATTTAGATATAATAGTGACATGATTTAGACATAATAGTGGCATGATTTAGATGTAATAACTGCATGATTTGATTTAGATGTCATAATGACATGGTTTAGATATAATAATGGCATGATTTAGATAAAGTAGCTTCCGACGGTAAAGCAAACGGTGATTAAAAATAAGGACTGGGACAATTTCTCTAGCAAGGCGTTTCAGCGCGTAGCCGGGTTGTTTCGGGGTCGACGCAGGCTCTCTGCTCTCCCAGGACGCCGGAGTTGTCGTGTCCAGCGCTGCGCTCCCTGGGCTGGGCAAGGTGTTTCGGGCCGAGGTGGTCTTGGCCGTACCGGTGGGACGGCTGCACCAGGAGCTGTTCGAGAAGATGGAGCAAATGCCACAGTGGAACCCGACCCTCAGCCGGGTGAAGGTGAGGCGGGGAGGGACCCACCACAGGCGGTGAGCAACTGGAGAATGGTTTGGGTTGGGAGGGACCTTCAAGACCATCCAGTTCCAACCCCCCTGCCACGGGCAGGGACACCTTCCCCTAGACCAGGTTGCTCAAAGCCTCATCCAACTTGGCGCTGAACACTTCCAGGGATGGGGCATCCACAACTTCTCTGGGCAATCTGTTCCAGTGTTTCACCACCCTCAGAGTAAAACATTTCTTCCTTAGATCTAATCAAAATCTACCCTCTTACAGTTTAAAGCCATTGCCCCTTCTCATATCACTACATGTTCTTACCAA